TTTTCTATTTGAAAACTGCAGTATCCATGTTTTTGTGAATAGGTTTATACCCCTCTCAGTTTATTTTTAGCAGGTAAGTGTATGCACATGCACAAACATGTTTGTTAGCTGTCCGATTCTGAGAGACTAAAAGACAAATCTCTAATAAATGGAAAGCTATAAATGGCTTTCCAAAAACTTCATATTAATAGCCTGCCATTTGAAGAAGTGTCATAGATCTCCTGTGAAAAAGACATATGAGATTTATGTTACAGTGTAATAAAATACAATATAAGATATAATAATTTGATTATAACATTGAATTTTTACATACCTGTAAGGTTTATTTTTTATTTTATTTTTAAGTTCCATTAGACTTGAAAATTCCACTAAAAATTACCTATATTCATGTTCAAAATCAATCAGTAGAACAGCGTAGACAAAATATTCTGGATCAGCAGGTTAACCATATGTGTACAACCACAGTACAATCAAAACAAAGTCTGTGTACTACTCTCAGGGGAAATCTCATCAGAAACATTCACAAGTGCTTACAGATAGTCAGCATTTGGAAGTTGAGAGACATTCTAAAATACAATCAAATTTAAAGTGTAGATTGATAATAAATATTAATTAATCTGCTTTACCCATGGTACTTTTGAACTATATGTTCTTAACTACATTTTCTAGGAAAATACAGCATGAAGGCAAGAAACCCCAGCTCAGCTAATGAAAAGGTAATCTGTTGTCTTGAGTGAACTTAAGGTTTTCTTTTTGGTATGTAAATAGTAAAATAGCAAGTGTGCAGTTTTCTACTTACTGAAATTCATTTTTCCACCTACGTGATACGAAAGACAATCAGTAGCCTTCATTTATAAAGCCCACATAACAGGCACCCTGTGCTCATCTGACTTAGTTCATCAGCCTTGCCACCTTTTTATTAAAAAAAAAATGTTTTTTAAACCCATGAACTCTGATCATTGAATTGCAGACTAGTTTGGAAACAATAAGTGCCAAAAGAGATGGTGTGTTTTGCTAGCTGACAGATGAAGAGCACTGGTGCCAACAGGCTGCCTGACATGCTGTTTCTTGCAGCAGCAAGTGACAGAACCTGTATCAGTCTGCTGCTCTATCTGCTAGATCTAGAAACTGGAAAACTGGTCAGGCAGTAGAAACAACTGGCTGAGAACCGGCATCCCTTCCACACAGCCCTGTAATGTGCTATGTCAGCTGGAGAATAATTTTCCTCCACTTATCTTTGTGCTACTTTGTTTTACATGTGCACTTTCAGGTACTCCAGCACATGTAGGTACTTAGTGAGAGATTGAAATTCATCTATACAGGAAAGTAACTACTTACTTCCATGAATTCCTGCATAATCTGCAAAATAGTTCTCCCCCAGCGGGAGCTAAAGCAAAAAAGGGAGAAAGATGCTTGGCTAGGTTTCTCTGAGGATGCTCAGCAACAGTGGTCTGAGTTAAGAGCTGTGCTCCTCCTCATAATTTGAATTTTGCACACTTGACCAAAGACAACTAAATTAGATTATAGTGGGTCAGGAATCAGAACAAGACAGCTTTTTTGCTTAAGGACATTGTGAATCAGAGCAGCATGCTGAGGAAAAGCTGTTAAGAATTCTGAACATTGCTGTTCCTTGTGTGGATTTTTTTTTCTGCTATTTTATTCTGTCTCAAAGCTAATCAAGGGAAGTTGTCTGAAATGAGGTATAAACTATGTTGCACAGGCTTATCAGCACTGTTTTGAACTACACCAGCAAAAGAGAGTTTAGCCAAAATAGCAAAAATACTTGGGGACCCGAAATAATACCTGTATCTCCCAGCATGTCCCAGATTTCTTCATTATTTTATTTATACAAAAGCTTATGGCAATTTGGAAAAACAGGGAAAGTTTTCTGCACAGTTTTACATTTCCGAGCCTTTACCAGGCCCCCAAAGTATACATGGAAAGTGAGCAATGTTTTCCTGAAGATTATTTCCATCTAATAACACGACAGATACACTTTAATCATCCTCCATTCCTCACGTATTACACTCGAAGTATTTATTTGCTGACATCTCAAGCAGGACTGTCTATCAGGTTAGATTTACTATGGGGCAAGACAAAGGTATAAGAAGTTAAGAAAAATGACTAGAAGGAGAGGGGGGGTACCTAAACTTAAAAGCGGTGGACCAGCAAACCAGAAATTTGTACCTGAGGCTGCTTTAACAATTGGGTCTCTTACCTCTCAGTCTAGTATCTTCTGCAGAAGACCACCTCATCTCATGAGTACTTGAGTCTTTTCCAACCCCACATTTGTTATTTGCAAGGCTTTCTGAGGCTGGTAAATTTAACATAACCTCTACTGATTCTCCTAGTTAATCATCACCTAAGAGAATGTGTTGGTTCAAGGTTATTTCTCAACACACCCAAAGCAGCAATTACCAGAGCAATAAAACACATCCTCCTGTGCTTAAGTGTTTTATTGATAAGCACAGCAACTTACCTAGACAATTAAAAGTGACATGACCAATGTTTTTCTTTGGCCTTCTCCCATTAAGACAAACTCAATCTTTCAGATTTGTTTATAGGTATTATGTGCTGCTCCCATTGTGTCTCACGCCATCAAATCCAGTGTCCTGCAGTACCACTTCTCACGATGCATGTACCATCCAAGTGGCCCATGCTAGAGAAAGGCTAGAAAGCCATTTATCAGCTATTTCTTTTGCTGATAGCAAAAAGGCTGTCCAATCTTAACCCTTAACCATGATTTTACATCACTTTTTTTTACATCACTTTTGGCTAGGGAACTCTGAAATTTAAAGTCCACCCACAGCCCCCTCAGACTAAAACACACTGATTTGTAAGGACTGCAGTAGTTTCAGCAGTTAAAAGAAGAAATGAAAATCGATCTTCCAGACCTTACCAACTGCAAACCTGTTTCCCTCACCAGGTCAAGCTCTTTGTGACTGAATAACAAAGAGCATCTCACCCCTTAGTAAACTGCTCATGCTGCAGAAGTGGGCTCCAACACAGAATGTGTTGTTGGAACTGCTTCTATCATCATTGGTGCTGGCTGCTCTGAAAGTCAATTATGATATGTTATACAGGAACAGACATCAGGAATATGTTTGTTTTTATCCTATTTTTGTCATTTCTATTTTTAAAAATCAATTAAAGTTGTTAAGATTCATCAAAGAGGCAATAAAATGACATGCTCTCTAGCAGCAGGAGAAGACTGATAGAAAACCTACTGCTATTACAGCTGTGCAATCAGCTTCAACATAGGCTAAAAGAACTGCCAGAGAACAGACCTGCTCGGCAGAACTTCTCTTATGCAATATGAAAAGAGCTCAAAGTTTTAGACACTGATGAAAAGGACAGGTTGAAAACAGGAAGGAAGTGGTTTTCTTTTTTTTGGTTGGGTGAACGAGCCTCTGCAGGTCTACTTATTTTAGTATCATCAGTCATCTGTAGTATTATCTTGTTATATTGTGTGTATTATTATTATTATTATTATTAATTGTTCTCATTTGATTTTCTGTATCCTTTACAAATCCTTTCATGCCTTTGCATGCTTCCTGAGTCTGCATTTACATCCTGGAGCTGGTCAGACTGCTGCTTCACAAAGGCATCTGTTTTCCCAGTTTGGCATTCTAATAGTGTCAATAAGGAGCATCTTCCATCGTCTTATGTCCTCTGTGCATGCAGCAGGCCCTTAGGCCCTGTTTGTTTCAGTATTGTCACTGCTACAGAATAGCACAGATGCATTCCCAGACAAGACCAGTAGAAGTAACTACAGCATAGTTTGCTATATAATGCATAACATTGTATGCAGATATACAACAGATCACTCCTTGCTCTTACACCTAACAGGATTAAGGAAAGTTTGATGGTTTATGGAGCCATTACATGCAAAAAAAAAAAAAAAAAAAATAGTGCTTTTCAAAATTCAGCAATGGGTGAAGCTCATGAATCACTGGGCTGAATCCAAAGCAAAAAGAAACCATAAAAAATCTCACCGCTCAAAGATTTGCTTTGGTCTTTCTCACTAGCTAGTCAAAAATCCCATTGTATTATTTATACAGGTGACTGTGCAATGACAAATCAAAGGGTTTGCCTTAGTATTAATGACTTCTAGTATCTATACTGAGCCTGAGGCATCATACTGTCAGGAGCATACCTGAACAATGCATATGCTTACTATAAATTATATAGCAACCTGACTCTGATCTGTGTTGAGTCAGACAGATGTCTGCTATCCTTTCATTAAAAGGTATGGAAAATACATTAAGATGTCAATATTTCACTATAAAACCAAATTAGTTTGGATCCACAGACATTTGCATTTGTGGTCATCTTAATTCAATAACAAAGCTTTCAGGTCAGATGAATTTCTGACTGAATTTCCATGCAAGATTACAAGTTTACCAAGGCAGAGAAAGTGAGACTGGTGTGGAGAAGCCTAGTGTTTGTTAGCTCTAGCAAACCGGTTGACTACTGAGCAGAAAAAGAGATGGCTGTATATTTGAAGAGCATTTTTGGTAGAAATCAAGCCATAAAAATACCATTCTGCAAGGGCAAGAGAGAAGAGTCAGAGAGTATAAACAGAGGAAGTCCTGCTCTTTTGTGATCCTGTTATATTTTGAGATAAGGAAGCTAGCCAAAATATGTCATTTTAATCTGATGTAGGACAAACTTCTGTCCCAGAAATGGATGATTTTGAGCAAGCCTGATACAGGATATGGTACAAATACTTGTAAGAAAGGATTACGAATCAACTGTATGCTCTGGAACAGATTTTGAAGTATTCCTGAACACTCTCTCCTGTACATTCACAGAGTAGATGAGACCCTCAATTATATTACTTCAGCCTGTGTGCCTACCTCATTAATCCTGTACTTTCAGCAGCTAATTGCTTCACTTTCCCTATCCTATGGATCTCTCTATGATGTTTAAATCAAGACCATAGTTTTCAAACTTCTTTACATACCTGCTTGAGCTCAGTAAAACATAACAGCCTGAAGTTTTTTTTTCTTTGCCTTTTCTTTATCACAACAACAACAAAAATACACAACCAACCTCATGAAACAGAACCTCCCACTGTCAAGTCACTCCAACATTTCTTTTTCCATCAGTAAGTATGCCTTTTGCCCAAAACCTGGTGTTAAGAACTCTACAAGTCAGGCAAAGCATTTAATTTCAGAAAAGGTTCTTATTTGTACACCAATAATACCCAGAAATACCATCTACTTCTCTGCACCAATACAAGTCAAAACCCAGCAATTCTTACCAGTTTCTGCTTCTGAAGCCTGTGTGAGACTCCCAGTGTGTACCAACCCAAGGGCTGCAATTAACTGCAGCTGCCAGGACTTCCAATAGGAAAATTCAGGTCAAGTGATTAAGAAAGTAAAATTGTTTCCAATAGAATCAGAAGGAAATTTCCAATTAGCTTTAAATGCTCAAGTATTTAACTTCAGTTTTGCTACTTTAATTATTACAACACAATTACAGTGGCCGAGTGTGCTTAAGTGAAAGCACTATATCCCAAGAAAACTTTCTGAGTACAGGAATTATTCATACCAATGTAAATCTATCAAATTATTCCAACTATCATCATTTGTTAGATAAGAATGTCACTACGAATTAAAGTGGCTGTAATAGTGAAACTCCGGTACTTTTTAATCCTGCTTCAGATCTCTTCAGAAGGAAAGATATCTTCTCCATGTGCTAATCATATAGGACATTTTCATTTCTACTTAAAGAGTTCCTATTCTGATATACTATCTTCCGTATAGTAAGTACATCAGCTTGTGAAGTCCTCTGCAGTCCTCTTGGATCGATATTATGCCTTAGACATACTAACTGCATTGGACATGCTTTGAAATACTTTGTTTTTTCCTAGCTGAAAATTGCAGGGAATGAGTGGCCTCCATGGCTGAACATGCAGTGCACTGTTAACTACAGCCTTAGATTTCAATGTGTCTGTAGCTGAACGTTTTCTGCATGGGACCTCACGAGTACTCCGTCCCAATGAAACACTGATGATTTTACTGACCCGCATCACTGAAACCCCATACTGAAGAGCAAGCACTAGCACAAGGACCTAAGAAAGTAACATCATAAACTTAGTGTATTACATCTTGCAACTAACCAAACAGTCTAAAATAAAGATTTTGATGTGGGTTCAGACAGTAGTGGTTTAGGACATCTTGCAAATACAGCCTATATTACTTATCAGCTAGAACTGCTACTGTCCAGGAAATGCATCTCATTGCCAATTGACAACACATAATATCGAGGCTGTAGGAACCAGCTAATCTAGAACAAAATTTTAGAAGTACAGTCCAGAACAAAAGAATTATAAGTACAGTAAACACAGTGTAAGTCTCCTTAGAGTATAGTAGAAAACATTGCAGCATTCTGGTGTAAGCATGAAATAGTAGGAGTATCAACATCAATGTATAGATACGGTTGTCTCTAAGGAAGGCTGTATTATTTCTTCCAAAATACATATTGATTTCTAAACTTCAGATTAGAAGGTTTTAACGTGAATCTTGCACTGAAGCCAATAAAAGTAAGTTTTCCTGCAAGTGATCTTATCAGAATTGAGTTTTAGAAGCTTCTGTTATTGCTAGGCTCCCCACTTGTGGCAGCAGTTTTCTGTAAGAGGACTCTTCTGCGTCAGGTTTTCCTCGGGATGAATCAGGACAGCTCAAAGCCCACAGACCTCCCTCTGCTTTCCGTACCATGATAAGGGACTGGCTGAACAATTCCAGGGCCTCTGTCCTCCACACAGAAAAATCAGTGGCAGATACCAGCATCAAATCCAAAGGTCTGAGAAAAGAAAAAACACAGATAAATTGCCAAAAAAAAACCTGCAATGAAAGCGTTAGAGAACTTGTCCCTAGGTTCGTGCATGGCATACCACACCAATAAGCACACAGTTTGCCAGCTTTGGGACTACAGAACTATATTTTGGTCACCATTCCAGGTCTTAGGTCCTTTATGAAAGTGCAAGAACTGTCAAGTATGTTGGTCTGATTCGTGTGTTCATTCTCAGAGTACAGCTCCATAATTGGAAGTTTCCCAAGAGTCTACCACGTCACTCTTTCTAATTTCAAAAGATCACTAGAAAATAGTGCTTTCAAAGCACAATATCACATTGGGATGTTATGCAAGAATTCTTGTCATTAGAGCAGCAGTCAGTACATCTGTGCTTCTCAGCCTTGCTCGCATCTTTCCAGTATGGCATCAGCCGGGCATGGGGGTCTGTGAACTACACAGAACTGTCCCTGCCACAAGGAGCAAGGAATCTAAATAGGCAAGGCTGCAACAGGATAAGAGAAAATTGTAAGAAAAGCAATCCCGATTTCCTGTCTTTAAAAAATATACATTTCTTCAGTTACCTCCTCTGTTAATACAGACTGGAATCTGTAAATCCAGGACGATCTCTTGTTTATATTAGAAATAAGACAACATAGTCTCAATTTCAGGGGAAACTAAATGCTGCCCTTCTACAGAGTATGAAGTATTTAGAAACAAATGAAAAACATGAGGTGACTTTTACCCCTGTTACGTGCTTCCATACCCTCAGAAATGAGTGTTTGCTTATACTTACTGACAGCAAGTTCCTTATCTAAGGCTTCTGGTAAATCTGCTTTAAGCTTATTGCTTTACCCATTGAACCTGATTATTTTTTCACTCAAGGCATTAAGATGTAGTTCCAGTTAACACTAAGCCACCTTTAGGTCAGGCTCACCAAACATTTAGTTTAAGTTTCAAAACCTGGCAATATTTTTCAAACACTCATAACCAGATTTTGCAGTTCTTAGCACCTACCCTAGTGGGCAGATTTCACAAGTTCAGCCGTGATACATTCAGCATTACCTGTAAAGGCCTATCAATAGAGCAGACATGTCTTAATTATCACCCTAATCCTACACATTTAAATAAATGGGAGCTGCAGCATTTGAGTACATCACCCTAGCTAATGCTGTATTTTTTAAATATTGAACTTCAGTTGTCTAAGAGAAGAGCTGTTCATGGTTTTTCTTCTATAAATTGAAGCTTTTCATTAAAATGGATCACCTCTTCTACCGTGATAGCTCTTAGACTATGTTATTAGAGCTGTATCTCATCATCATATATTGCAGTTTCTGCACTGAATTTTTATCCTCAACACTTCAAAGGATAGACTCAGCTCTAAACACGCTTTAGGCTGAAGTAGGCACAGCAATGACAATCTGCAAATGAATTCAGCTTTTCAACCCAGATCAGCGGTTCCCTTCTGAGCTGTGGTTTAGAACAGCCTGTGTTTAGTCTGTGTTTATATGCATCTTAATACAAGCAGTGTTTGCAGATAATCCTGTGACAATCCTGTAAGAACCTAGAGCAGAACCCTAATACCAATGTCTTTATTAGAGGTCACGTAGGCAATTCACTTGTGTCAAATGCAATCCTTCTTTGTGGTGGTTTTACCTTGCTGGGCCACTAAACACTACAACCACTCTCTCGCTCGCCCTCCTCCATCAAAGAGGGGAAGAAAAGAGTATTCTGGAAATAATAAAGGCTCACAGGTTGAGATAAGGATAATTTAATTAAAGGGAAAAAGGAAAGGCCATAAAGAAGCACAGAAAATAATTCTCTACTTCCCATCAACAAGCAATATTTGGCCACCTCCTAGGAAGCAGGGCCTCAATATGCATAGCAGTTTGGGAGGACAGATTCTTCCCAAAGAGATTCCCCTTCCTCCCCACCTTTTATTGTGGAGTGTGACACCACACAGCATGGGATATCCCTTTGTTTGATTTAGGTCAGCTGCCCTGATGATGTACCCTCCCCACCCATTGTCCATGCCCAGTTTGCTGGCTCTGAAGAGGATTAGAGGGGGGCTTGGTGCTGTGCCAGTACCGATACCACTGCTGTTCCACCTGCAAGTGCAGAGCACAGCACTGTATGGGCTGCTGCAGGGAAAGTTCACTCCATCCCAGCCAGACCATGTACATTATTGTGCTCAATGTAGAAAATGTGTCCTCTGTGTATGTTACAATGTATACTCTGCTACAGCAAGGAACTGCAATAGAGAAAAGTGGATACATTTAGGATTTCTAATGCTGCTGGGTGATTTCCTTTCAAAGAGCTCACGTGCATCAGGCAAACATCGCGTCTAAGAATTCTAGTAGATGGGGTTCTGATGCTTTCCTGCTGACATCCAATGGAAGACTATTTTCTGAGGAAGCCTTTTGAATTCAACCACAGCACTGAAAATATTCCTTGTGTTTTCAGATGATGCAGGAAAGGAGATAAGTACTGCCTTGAACCCATTGTCAGTCTCCTGTTCCAATGAAGAACTTTCTGCCCTATTAAGAAGCACTGCCAAGCATCCCCTTGTTTTGATACTAGAGCACATTCAACTTCAATTCACTACAGATAAGGTGATTTTCCATGTAAAGATAAGCATACCCATATCAAGTGTTGTAAACTTCAGATTTTCTCATTTTGTTTTCAGCTGTATATGCTTACGCAGGAGGTATAGAAGGGATTTGTCAAGTCTGTCCAAATGCATCTGGTTTTGTTTAACCTATGTATGAATTTATAATCTATCATTGTTTTCCAAGTGTCATGAATAAAATCAGAGTAACAGAAAAGCTACAAAGGCTTTTTAATAGTTCTATAGAGATTTATAAAAAGACAATTATTTCCTTTGTTTCATCTCCCATTTGGCTCTTAGACAACACAGCTCAATCACAACAGATCTGAGGGGGAAAATGTTTGAGGATGAACAGCGTATTTATATTCAAGAATCCAGTGCATATTCTGGAAATACCATGATATTGTCGTAAGAAGATTTCAAGCAGTGCTAAAGTACTGGTATGATAAGTCCCAGAGGGTTGTCTAAAGGAATTGATCTGCAGAGACAAAAACAGTTTTGGAATGTTGTCACTTTGTTATGTGTCTCACCTTGATCTGTAGGTGTCACGAATAAATATAAAACTAAATCTAGCAGCTGTGATACCAGCTGGTCTTTACATACTCTGCTGCACATTCCCAAGTCATAACAATAATATGCACCAGTATTCAGGCAATCCCACATTCAGCTCACATGATCTGATTTTCTATTTATTCAGTTAAAAAGATAACACTGCATGAAAGAAGTTTCCCAGAACTAAGTGCAATATAAATCAAAAAGAATCAAATGTATGAATGTTAGAATTTATATGAAAATAGTAAACAAAAAACTAAATACCTTTGAAGGTTTTAGTATGTACAGAGACAACAGAATTAGTGGCCAGGACAACTGAGACGAAACTATTTTACACTGTAAAATGTAGTAGTCCTATATGAAGGTTCTTCCAGCAATTCTTGAAAGTTGCATAATTTTAACAAAATTGAGGCTAGACAGAAAAGTAAGCAGGGCATTGCTTTTCTTCCAGAATTTAACTGAGTTCTCAGCACATTTTGTAATGTTAAAATAAAAAAAAAAAAGAGACCAGTGAGAGATGGCTTACATTCTTTCTGCAATTTCATTTGTAAACTATAACTGGCATTAATAAAAACAGGCAATGTGGTTAGAATTATCAATGTAAATGCTGTCTTATATTTTGGCTGTTACCTGCAGGAAAGAATTACACATCTCCACAAAATGGCATAGCAGAAACAGAAGGAAACCTAAGCATGGGTAAACGTGCCTGCCTTAGGCAAAAGGTACACAAGATGCTGGTTGTATTTAGAAGTTTGAATAAAGCTTGTCAGAAGTTGACAGAGAGCCTCAAGAAGATAATGTATTACATGTGGTGTCACTCATCCTTAGAAGAGCCAAAGGGAAGGATCTCAAAGCAAAGTGCCAACTGCAGAGGGAGTATAGGAACGAGCACAGGGACATCATCTACTGCTGAGTCCTACAGTGTACCAGGAATTAAGTGTATCATAAAAATAATTGAGATTGCATCAGGGAACTGGCTCTAAAGCCAACTCTTCTGAAGTAGAGCAGTTTTTGCCAATTGGCAAAAAAAAAAAATATCAGCATTGCAATTGGGAGCTGCAGGGAAGCTCACTCCCTAACCTGATAGAAAAGCAAGACTAATAATAATCTAATTAATCCTAATAATCACCAGATGTTTTGTGGGCATTAACAAATCCATTTTAACTACCAGATAAACTGAGCCAGAGAGTATCAGCTTGCTTGGAATTACAGTACATACTAAGCTTGAGAGGACTCTTGCCTAAAAACTTTCATGTCTGGTAAGGAAAACTACAACAGAAAATATGGGAATACTTCAAGAGAATGGAAGGAAACTATTACAATTCTAGCCAAAGTCTTGGATGGTCCCTGTCAGCACAATCCTCTGCAATCACTGCGGGGCCAATCCTACTGTACTGTAAGAATCCCATGACTAACAGCTACACAAAGCCCTTTGTCAGCAGTAATGAGAATACAAGAGATGGACTCGAACTCTTTCTCTGCTGTCTTTAGCTGACCCGGTCATGCTCTGGAATAACTTATCACATTTAATTCAGATCAAGGTGATCTAGACTACAGCTAAGAAGTGCAGGAAGCCAGGAAAGAAGTAAGCAATGTGTCAATACAGTGGTGTAATAGCATCTGTGCTCATTCTTCACCCTCAAGTTACCTACACACCAGACCTGGAAAACTGAACTGTTGCCTTGCACCAGCCAGGACTCTTTCTTCCTGACTATTAATCAGGCAACTTGCACTATAAATAGGGTGCACGGATACACCCCACAATACAAAACCAGTTCTGGATTTATCCATTAGTCAGAAAGAATTACCAACGAGCCTATCACCCCCAAACTCCCTTGAGAAGTTATACATT